GACAAAACAGGCCAGTACTACCAACTTGGAGAAGGCATCAAATCTAGGAACACCATCAGTGAAATGTGATCAGCTCCTCTAGGTGTAGCCTTTGTTTAGTGGAACACATGATACATAAAAGGAAGTGAGACGGGCACCCATGTGTTTGATATTACAACTTCTTAGGTGAACCCTAGCCAGAGCAACATGTATTGACTCTGCATCAGTGAAAGCTTCCTTGGATGGTGGGGACAGCTCATAACCGGCACCTGTATCGCCTCTCTTCATACTTGGGACTTTCCATAATGGAACTAGAAAGGAACTGTAAACCTGAGGATGAGACTTGTGCAAATAACTTCATCTCATCGAGACTGGAATCTCAGACATGACACACAACACACATACATTATTTGACACTGCTATGGTAGGAAATTACCCAGCACAGCTTACATGACCAAACTGTTGTTCAGCCCTAGCTGGGAGCAGATAGCCAACTGTTGTACAGCACTAGCTGAGAGCAAACAAACTATTGTACAGTCCTAGCTCCCTAGCTGGAAACATACAGCAAACTGTTGTACAGTCCTAGCTCCCTAGCTGGGGACATACAGCAAGCTGTTGTACAGTCCTAGCTGGGAACATACAGCAAGCTGTTGTACAGTCCTAGCTGGGAACATATAGCAAACTGTTGTACAGTCCTAGCTCCCTAGCTGGGGACATACAGCAAACTGTTGTACAGCCCTAGCTGGGAACATACAGCAAACTATTGTACAGTCCTAGCTCCCTAACTGGGGACATACAGCAAACTATTGTACAGTCCTAGCTGAGAGCAAAAAAACTATTCTACAGTACTAGCTGGGGACATACAGCAAGCTGTTGTACAGCCCTAGCTAGGAACAAAAAGCAAACTGTTGTACAGCCCTAGCTGGGAGTAAACAGCAAACTGTTGTACAGCCCTAGCTGGGAGTTAACAACAAACTGTTGTACAGCCCTAGCTGGGGAACTGTTGTACAGCCCTAGCTGGGAGTAAACAGTTAACAGCAAAACAAACTGTTGTACAGCCCTAGCTGGGAGTAAACAGCAAACTGTTGTACAGCCCTAGCTGGGAGTAAACAACAAACTGTTGTACAGCCCTAGCTGGGAGTAAACAGCAAACTGTTGTACAGCCCTAGCTGGGAGTAAACAGCAAACTGTTGTACAGCCCTAGCTGGGAGTGTTGTACAGCCCTAGCTGGGAGTAAACAGCAAAAACTGTTGTACAGCCCTAGCTGGGAGTAAACAGCAAACTGTTGTACAGCCCTAGCTGGGAGTAAACAGCAAACTGTTGTACAGCCCTAGCTGGGAGTTAACAACAAACTGTTGTACAGCCCTAGCTGGGAGTAAACAGCAAACTGTTGTACAGCCCTAGCTGGGAGTAAACAACAAACTGTTGTACAGCCCTAGCTTTTTCAAACTGTTGTAAGTACAGCCCTAGTAAACAGCAAACTGTTTACAGCCCTAGCTGGGAGTAAACAGCAAGCTGTTGTACAGCCCTAGCTAGGAACATACAGCAAACTGTTGTACAGCCATAGCTGGGGGCACACTGTTGGACAGGATAGGATTTTATTTTTCTGAAAGTAAACCTATAACCTTACAATAGCTTCGAACCTGGGTTTCCCACAAGAGAGCCCAGCATTCTTAACCATTTGGCCAGCCACTCCTCCTAGCAAAGAATATAAATAAAACATTGCAGTTATGACAAACACTAAATGTCTCAACTACAACTCAATAGGAATGAAAAGAATATGGCATTTCTGCTGCAAATCAAAAACATTTTAGTTATGCAGGAAGAACTTATCAAGGCATAGTGATATGTTCATATGACAATGGATAAAATCAGTGAGAAAATGTCTGAACATTGTGAAATAGTTGACATTTTATATAAATCAACAAAAATATCAATAACATCAAAAATTATTTGTAACAAATTTATGCAGTAACTCTTTAAGCCCCAAACAATTATTACTTTGCTCCTTTTATCCAAAGAAATTGAGCTTCAAAAAGAACAAATATTTCAAGAAGTTCAACAGAACAGGGGCCAGGAGAAGCTACTAACAGTTCAGATATAAAAGGTTAATAAACATCTGTCTGGGAGAGAAGACATCAAGATCATCAAATTATAATTATGGCAAGTGTTTGGTACTCAGTGCTTCTTCTTCTTCTTCTTCTTCTCTTCCACCTTGTACCTCATCAAAGTGGGGGGAGATGTAATGTTCGTTGGTGAGCTCTGTCAAGATCACTATCAAGACTGATGTTCACTCACTGCTTTGGGTAAAAAAGTCACATCAAATGTTGACTCATAACCAACTTAACTGTCCTCTGATAACAGAAGCGTTAAAGAATTATGTAGGGTCGAGTGCCAACAGGGCAGTAGAAGGAAATGAAGGGGAAAAATTGCTACAAGAAATGATCAAATGATGTAGAACGAATAGCAAATAAGCATGAGGTGCCTAGAAGCTAATATGGTTAACCAACAACTTGTGTCACATAGCTTATGAGTGTTTTGCATCACACAGGATTTAACAGTTTATCTGTGTTTTGTGTCACACAGGATTTCCCATAGTTTATGTTTTGTGTCACACAGGATTTCACATTTATCTGTCTGCCAAATAGGGACTCCCCACCCCAGTAATTTACATGATCCTCTTTTCTTCTTCCCCTCATTCCCCAACAGAGCATAAGCTCTCAACCAACTATTGCCGTGCTATCAGATTTGACACCACCACATGCAGCCTATATTCCCTCTCCATGTGTTTTTCTTTCTGGTCTCTGACTATTCCGTTGTCTCTGTGGGTTGCAATGCAAGAACATTCTAATATTTTACTGTTTAAAAAAAATGTATAGCTAATACAAATGGGCATTTTCATTAGTTACCGAAAATTATTGATTAGCCAGATAAAAAAGAGCTGTTAAATGACTGGTCGAGCCCTAAGCTATTCTTGTGCAGAATTTAAACAGTCTTATTAAATTACAAAGGTTTAAAATGTCAAAATTATGACAAAATTATGTTCCTTTCAGTAACTATGCATTCCTCTTTTAAAAAATAGTATACAATGACATATTCAGAATCAAAATTCTTGTAGAAAGATTAAATTACTCTCTGAATAAAGGACTTTTTCTCCACACTAGAACTGCCCTGGTCACATGACGCTAGATTCATATTTTTTTATAAACCAGTGGGTACTCTGCTGGTGATGTGATCATCATCATCACACCAACCATCTTCGCTTCCCAGCACATTTCCTGGCTGCTATTTTAGGTTCCTTCAAACTGGGAATCTGGGTCAAAGTTAACAAATCCAACACCATGTGGACATGAACCCTTCCAGCTGACGGGCAAGTGTCTAGTCCTCATCTATCTATAGTTTTCTTTAATCTATCTATAGTTTTCTTTAATCTATCTATAGTTTTCTTTAATCTATCTATAGTTTTCTTTAATCTATCTATAGTTTTCTTTAATCTATCTATAGTTTTCTTTAATCTATCTATAGTTTTCTTTAATCTATCTATAGTTTTCTTTAATCTATCTATAGTTTTCTAGTTTAATTTCTCCCTATTTTAACATGTTTTTATCTATCAGCTACATACTAAAATCATTTCTGCCTATTACAATATTTCTGATCTATCAAATACATTCTAGGATCCTTTCTACATATTATTACATTTTTAAAAAAATGTAATCTACCAGCTACTGTCTAGAATCATTTCTATGTATTACAATATTTGTTTTCTGTCAATAGATTACAATTACAATCAATACTATCTATGACTAAATTACTATCAATAGCATAAATGCCTTTCAATTCAAAAATTATAGACGGCTACTAAGAATATCATGGGTCAAGAAAAGACAAATGTATCCATATTTCAAGACCTGAATATTAAAGAAGGTTGGCTATTAATAAATATGATAAAACACAGAAAATTGAAATACATAATAATAATAATTTCTATATATTTCTTATCTATCAACTGCTTTTTAGAATAGATTCCAAATATCTTATCTCTTATCTATCAACTGCTTTCTGGAATGCTTTCAATATATTAATTTTTATAAAAATCTATCAGCTACTTTCTTGAATCATTTCTATCTATTACAATTATTTTTGTGTGTTAATCTATCAGCTCCTTTCTAGAATCATTTCTATCTATTACAATAATTTTTGTGTGTTAATCTATCAGCTACTTTCTAGAATCATTTCTATCTATTACAATTATTTTTGTGTGTTTATCAGCTACTTTCTAGAATCATTTCTATCTATTACAATTATTTTTTTGTGTTAATCTATCAGCTACTTTCTAGAATCATTTCTATCTATTACAATAATTTTTGTGTGTTAATCTATCAGCTCCTTTCTAGAATCATTTCTATCTATTACAATAATTTTTGTGTGTTAATCTATCAGCTACTTTCTAGAATCATTTCTACAATTACATAATTTTTGTGTGTTAATCTATCAAGTACTTTCTAGAATCATTTCTATCTATTATTTAATAATTTGTGTGTGTTAATCTATCAGCTACTTTTTAGAATCATTTCTATCTATTACAATTATTTTTTTGTGTTAATCTATCAGCTACTTTCTAGAATCATTTCTATCTATTACAATTATTTTTTTGTGTTTATCAGCTACTTTCTAGAATCATTTCTATTTATTACAATTATTTTTTTGTGTTAATCTATCGGCTACTTTCTAGAATCATTTCTATCTATTACAATTATTTGTGTGTGTTAATCTATCAGCTACTTTCTAGAATCATTTCTAATACAATAAAACTTTTTGTGTTTATCAGCTACTTTCTAGAATCCTTTCATCAAAAACTTCTTTGGTCTGGATCTCACCTGCCTTCAGACACACAGCTATTATTTAATATTTATTTGTTTCCCATCTGCAGTGATAAGAGGCTGACAGTCAACGCCAGACAGCCCATCAATATTGTCGACTGATCAAACAAAGACAGGCAACGCAGACAGCAATCAATATTGTCAACTTATGAAAACAGCTGACAGGCAACGCAGACAGCAATCAATTTCGGTCAGCGCTGAAAACATGCTGACAGGCAACTCATTCAGCTCTGTAGCATATATACCTTCTTTCTTCAGTCTTTGAAGAATTGGCTGGTAAGTCTCCATGGCCAGCGGTGCACACACTCCCTGTCAACTTATGAAAACAGCTGACAGGCAACGCAGACAGCAATCAATCAATATTGTCAACTTATGAAAAAAATATGTGGCTAAGTCAATGCAAATGCTTGTATTGCCAGGATGCCAGGTTCGATCCCAGCTGTGGGCCATGCACCTTGCATTGGTTTCCACTATGGTATCAAGAAAGCCAAGCATCCAGAAAGCAATGGCAAACTACTGAACGTAAATTTGCCTAGAAAAACCACACAACAGCCAGGGGCTGTTGGGGTTGGTTCTGCAACATCCTGTAAAGGATACACAACTAACCTTATGGGAAAAAAAAGAGGACTGATGATGTAGAGAGAGCAATTAGTAAAGTCAATGCATAAAAACAGCTGATGTACAATAAAATCATAAACATTAAGAAAATGGAAATAATAAGTAAAAAAAAAAAAAATTTCACTTAGTGTGGAACTTGCAAAATTATAACATCAAAAGTAAGAGAGGACAGACAGGTAAATTATAGCAAGAATATCAGTTTAGATAAAGCAAGCTGCTGGGTGTGTCAGATAGGCTTCAAGTTGACCAGTGGTATTGTTCGTGACCACATCACTGCTGGGTGTGTCAGATAGGCTTCAAGTTGACCAGTGGTATTGTTCGTGACCACATCACTGCTGGGTGTGTCAGATAGGCTTCAAGTTGACCAGTGGTATTGTTCGTGACCACATCACTGCTGGGTGTGTCAGATCTATTCGCTTGACCAGTGGTATTGTTCGTGACCACATCACTGCTGGTGTGTCATTGCTTCAAGTTGACCAGTGGTATTGTTCGTGACATCACTGCTGGGTGTGTCAGATAGGCTTCAAGTTGACCAGTGGTATTGTTCGTGACATCACTGCTGGGTGTGTCAGATAGGCTTCAAGTTGACCAGTGGTATTGTTCGTGACCACATCACTGCTGGGTGTGTCAGATAGGCTTCAAGTTGACCAGTGGTATTGTTCGTGACCACATCACTGCTGGGTGTGTCAGATAGGCTTCAAGTTGACCAGTGGTATTGTTCGTGACCACATCACTGCTGGGTGTGTCATCTATGCTTCAAGTTGACCAGTGGTATTGTTCGTGACCACATCACTGCTGGGTGTGTCAGATAGGCTTCAAGTTAACCAATGGTATTGTTCTGGACCACATCACCCATCCCTGTTGACTGGTATATACAAGTATATCTAGCATCACATGTTCACTGGGTCGCTGGCGGGCAAGTTGTCCCAGAATTGTATTGTCTTTTGGGGCCAAGTCTAGAATACTGACATTTTCCTGATGTCTGCTGTGATTAGAACTCTGATATTCTTTCTTGCCAAGAACACTGACATGACTTTATTGTCTGATGTGATTAGAATGTTATTTTTCTACTGACCAAGGACTAAAACAGTGACATGACTCTATTGAGTGACATAATTAGTACTGTTATTCTTCTACTGACCATTGTCTAGAACAGTGGTTCATAACCTAGGGTCTCCACCCTTCCCCCAGGGGGTGTAAGAGGGTTTTAAGGGGGGAGGGGATCGTTATATAACTGACTACATTTTTAACTGTCATAATCCGGTTACTAAAATTTTTTTTTCAATTTAATTATAAAACATTTTTAAAAAACTATTTACAAAACAAAAAGCCAAGGATAATTTGTTGTTGTCACAAGCAGTTTGCACACGTACCAGAAAATTGTAATTAATATGGTAGCACAAGCCTTTAATTATAGATCAAGAACATGTTCTGACTGAAACTATCTCCATGGTAGCACAAGCCTTTAATTATAGATCAAGAACATGTTCTGACTGAAACTATCTCCATACATTCTATTTCCCTTTTTGTGGAATCAATTGTCCTTCTCTTTTTTAATCACATTTTATTATGTTGTGGCAGGGTGGAAAGGGGGGTGGAGGTTTTGCCATATACTCAAGGCAGCACGGACTAAAAAAGGCTGAGACCAAGTGGCTATACATTTCAGAGACTTACAAGTGGCTAAACATTTCAGAGACTTTAAAGCTGCTAAACATTTCAGAGACTTACAAGTGGCTATACATTTCTGAGAAATTACACAAGTGACATGTTAGACAATTGGCTAAATATTTCTAAGACCTACCATTAAGAATCATGCGAGCAGCAATTGCTGTTGGCAGTCCAACAGTTTTGGCCATGGCAGAGAAACCTCCAAGATCTCCATAGTTGATCATGTCGATACTTCTCTGTTCCTTGCGGCCATCTCCCCAGACAATCTCAACGTCATGCCGCATTAGCACCATGTCTCGCTCATTTGTTCCTGCAGACATTTTTACAAGTTTCTTAGAAACTGTTTTTGAATTACATGAGATTGTCAGATGGGATGAGCAGTTCTTTTAATTTTCCCCAGAAACAAATCTGCGATACTAGGATTGTGAGACATCTTCAAATAGAGAGAAAATAAATTTGCAACTATTTTTGACACATATTGGTTGTGTTGTGCCATTTTGAGAAGATCTGTGATGTTTGTTTTTTACTATGGCAAAGAAATCATCCCGGCAATTGTTGTCCAGGTTTTTAAGAATATGGAGACTAAAAGGATCACTATGGTGCCATGCTGTTCTTCTAATTTGATCAATCAACTAGTCAGGTGTCATCTCCACAAAGAAGGTTGGTTGCAATGGATCCACTACACACTCTGTCTCTTTTCTTGGTTCTATACTCTCTCAGACTGCTGCCCATCAATATTTTTATGTTGTCCTCCCACTTGTATTGTTGTCCACCTATTGCTCTTATGCCTTCGATTTTTTCTCTACAGCGTGATTTTTTTTAAAGAGAGTATTATATCTTTGAATGTGGCAAAAATATTTAAATTATCTTTTTTTATTTCTTTCAATAATTTTCTTTTCATTTCTAGTCTCTCCTGAACCACAGTATTTGATCAAGTTTAATGGGATAACTATGAAACAACACGAACATCCTTGTACGAGTTTGATGTGATAACTATGAAACTACATGAACATCCTAGTACAAGTTTGATGTGATAACTATGAAACTACATGAACATCCTTGTACGAGTTTAATGGGATAACTATGAAACAACACGAACATCCTTGTACGAGTTTGATGTGATAACTATAAAACTACACGAACATCCTCGTACAGGTTTGATGTGATAACTATGAAACTACATGAACATCTTGTACAAGTTTGATGTGATAACTATGAAACTACACAAATATCCTCGTACAAGTTTGATGGGATAACTATGAAACAACACGAACATCCTCATACGAGTTTGATGTGATAACTATGAAACAACATGAACATCCTCGTATGAGTATGATGTGATAACTATGAAACTACACGAACATCTTAGTACAAGTTTGATGGGATAACTATGAAACAACACGAACATCCTCGTACAAGTTTGATGTGATAACTATGAAACAACACGAACATCCTCATACAAGTTTGATGGGATAACTATGAAACAACATGAACATCCTCATATGAGTCCTGAGGCCCTATTTTGTGGTGATGGGGGAATAATAAGCGCTCCCCCCCCCCCCAAGCATATCATAAAAAGCGATTAAGAATTTGCTGAAACTGGATGTGTTATGCTGAAAAAGGCAAATATCACAGCATAGCTGTAAACTACAACATAACATGTCAAACACCCTTTTAATGATGAATGCAGCAGAAAAATAAGAAAAAGCAATTTGTCTAGATTAAAAATTTTCACAACAGTCAAAAAATGTATTTATCACATGCATTTTTCTGGTATAGTCATACCTGGGTCTCACTGGTGCTACAGTGTTTGTACTCTGTGCTGACATTATTTGTGTATTATCTATGAGAGGAGACTTGAGTGCAGATGGAAGAATTCATAGGCAATAATTATATACAAAAGGGGCTGAGGTATGACCTCTGCCTCGAGCACTGGAGGTCCAAGGTTCAAACCCTAGTAAAGGCTGGGATTTGTTCCTGTGGACTTCTAGTAATTTCCCCAGATCTCTGGGTAGTAAGATCGGATGCCTGTGTGTATTGTTGCACTAGTAGAAAAATCCATTGGCAGTTGGAAATTGAAAAATAGTAGCCTAACGGTGCTGTCCGGGTAAAATATTGAGTAAAAAATCTGCCAAAAATATTTCGGAGCCTCGCCAGTGCAACAGAGTTCATGCACTGAGCTGAGATTCTTCAGACTCAGGCTTGAGTTAGAAGTAGAACGGAGCACCTATGGGTTACACCCGTGTGCCATGATGTTGATCCGTTGAATAAACAAACATGTATTTAAAAAAAAAAAAAAAAAAGGAATGAAATGATTTGGTCATCTAATGAGAATGGATTCTGCAAAATTACAGTATGCCTACAACTGAAAAGAAACAGGTTATGGAGCATGAGGAAGATCAAACAGTGGTTAGACAGACATCAACGACAAGACTATCAGAAAAAGATATCAAACCAAACAAAAAATGCAACCAGTCAGTTTCACAATATCACAAACAAATGACAAAGTGAACTTTGTCGTTAGAGAGTCTTCAGCAGCACATCACATAAATCTACAATACCACAAATATGAACAAAACTATACAGTGACCAGTCTCCTATTTTCAAGCACAATGCACATGGAACATAAAGTGCAGCTCCCCACAAAGCTTCATGACCTGGTCCAATCAGGTATAGGAAACAAAACAAAACAGTTCTATTGTTATGTTATCATAATCGACGCCACTGCACATTGGGCATTCCTATACGAGCTCAGTCCTTCAATGCAGCAGTCACTCTAAAGTACTTATACTAATTGTTCCCATGAAAAGCTGGTTATATTGTCTCCTATCTCGGCCTCAAAGACGGCATAGACGTGCTTCACCATGCTTTACTCCCATGTCATGCAATTGTGTTAGTGTCAGGGATTCCTCATCCACTAGCCCAGTTTGTACAGCGTTGACGATATCAGCTCTGTCCATGCTTTTTCCCCACAATCCTTAGTGCAGTGCTTGCCAGTTGGTCCGCTTGCTCATTTCCCTTTACACCTGCATGACCTAGTGTGTGTATTCAGGTTACGGAGGTTAAGTGCGATTTTCGAATGCTTTCTACCCATTCAGAGCGCATACTGCCTGTTGTTATCTTCTGAAGCATATTCCTTGAGTCTGAGACAATAACTGCCTGTGTGGCGGTTTGCTCGGATACCCATGCTAAAGCTCTAGAAGCAGCGGCTATTTCCATTGTCATGCTTGACGTGGTTGTCTGGTAAGCGCCGCTGTCCTCATGTATTGTTTTCCCCCTTCTTTGCGCTGTGTATGCCCATGCTGACCTTGATCCGCGCTTCACGGATCCATCTGTGTAGATGATGATATCTTCTGGGTCTGAATGCTGATCTGTCAGTTCCCTTACTTCTGTGTCTACAGCCACAGGAATTTGATCCCTGCAGTACCTTCTGAGTGTAATGACAACCTTAGAGACGCCATGCATGTCTACTGGTGTTCTATTGATTCGATGGTGGACAGTCAAACAAAACTGTTCTATTGATTCAATAGTGGACAGACAAACAAAACTGTTCTATTGATTCAATAGTGGACAGACAAACAAAACTGTTCTATTGATTCAATAGTGGACAGACAAACAAAACTGTTCTATTGATTCGATGGTGGACAGACAAACAAAACTGTTCTATTGATTCAATTTTGGACAGACAACAAAACAGTTCTATTGATTCTATGATGGACAGACAACAAAACTGTTCTATTGATTCAATTGTGGACAGACAACAAAACAGTTCTATTGATTCTATGATGGACAGACAAACAAAACCCATTTTATGAGAATGAGTTGTTTACAGAACTGCATGAATTCAGGAAAAACATTGCCTGTCACATGTGGCTAGACCCTACATCACTATGCTGATATATCTTTGCACTACGCTTTATACTCCAAAGGAATTTTTCCCTGCTTTTAGCTGGCAATACATACCATAAGCCAGTCTCTTGGCCAGATAGTTGGACAGCGTGTCAATGGGGGAACCTCTCTTGTCAATTGGATCATTATTAATCAGTCCCAACCTGTGTGACACAAGAGTCATCATTATTCAATATTTCATAGTTTTTAAGAATAGCTGGAAACACTTTACAACTATTTGTGTGAATAGCTAAACATACAATTATTTGTGTTGAACAGCTAAACATACATTACAACTATTTGTGTTGAACAGCTAAACATACATCACAACTATTTGTATTGAACAGCTAAACATACATTACAACTATTTGTATTGAACAGCTAAACATACATTACAACTATTTGTATTGAACAGCTAGCTAAACATACATGATAAATATTTGAGCTGAAAAGATTAGCACACATTACAAGTGTTGATTAATTAATTGATAGTAAACATCTTTTTCTTTTTCTTTTCTACTTTGCCCTTAAAAGGATGGTTGGGTTGTTGTTTTGTAGTTGACAGCCAGACTGCAGTATCTGCATTTTTTGATCCAACACGTCTGATTTAAGCACAACTCTAGTAAGTCCCCACTTACGACATGCTCGTTAGGGCGCAGTGGATCTATTCTACCTCCTTCCAAAATGAGCTTCTTGAACCCACATGTGGAACACTGTGGGGAAATAACTCTAGTAAAATAATGAACCGGAGAATATAAATTACAGAGTAAAAAAATGAACCGGAGAATATAAATTACAGAGTAAAATAATGAACCGGAGAATATAAATTACAGAGTAAAATAATGAACCGGAGAATATAAATTACAGAGTAAAATAATGAACCGGAAAATATATATTACAGAGTAAAATAATGAACCGGAGAATATAAATTACAGAGTAAAATAATGAACCGGAGAATATAAATTACAGAGTAAAATAATGAACCGGAGAATATAAATTACAGAGTAAAATAATGAACCGGAGAATATAAATTACAGAGTAAAATAATGAACCGGAGAATATAAATTACAGAGTAAAATAATGAACCGGAGAATATAAATTACAGAGTAAAATAATGAACCGGAGAATATAAATTACAGAGTAAAATAATGAACCGAGAAAATATATTTACAGAGTAAAATAATGAACCGGAGAATATAAATTACAGAGTAAAATAATGAACCGGAGAATATAAATTACAGAGTAAAATAATGAACCGGAGAATATAAATTACAGAGTAAAATAATGAACCGGAGAATATAAATTACAGAGTAAAATAATGAACCTGAGAATATAAATTACAGAGTAAAATAATGAAGCTGAGAATATAAATTACAGAGTAAAATAATGAACCTGAGAATATAAATTACAGAGTAAAATAATGAACCTGAGAATATAAATTACACAGTAAAATAATGAACCTGAGAATATAAATTACAGAGTAAAATAATGAATCAGACATGACAATTACCTACCCAACAATAGATTCTAGCCTGAACTGATCGCCACCAAGCTTCTCTAGTATCAGATCCTTCAGTGTATCTTCTAGAATGTCTCCAGATCTATTAAACTTGCTGCACATGAACTCTTTCTGTTGAACACAAACGTGCAATCTGCTAGTTAGAGGATTCTTCAATGCAGATTTAAATAGAGGATTGCAGAACATGGTATCTACTGCTATGTTTGTGATACTCCTGTCCTAACTGGAGAGGGTACGGTTCGGTGGCTTAGAGGCTAGAAAATGCTGTTAATCTAATGACTCTTGAGTGCTGTGGTTTGATCCCCGCAGTGTATGGGTAAAATTCCGTTCTCATGGTTTTCGGACAATGGTACAAGAGTCACACTGTGGAAGAGATTGGAGGCTAACCACATAATATTCCTAAAGAGAAAAGTGATACACTGTAGCCAACCTCCATTGTGGAGATGGCACCAAACTCTTAACTGGGAAGTATCATCTGGTAAGTAAAGGACCCTTTTCCATGCCTTTCAGTGTACTGGGCAAATAGGGCTAGATCTATATTTTATAGACAAAATGGCACTTGGTGGGTGATGTGGTCAGCATCACGCCGGCCACCTTTACTTCCCTGGACTGTACCTGGTACCCACTCAAGGCTGGGTCAACCTAGGAGTCAAGGTCATTTTTGAGGGAAAAAAATCCTGCCCTCGTCAGGAATTAAACCCACAACCTTCCGCACCGCAGGTGGATTATCTAGTTAGGCATCAATATTAGGATTCTCTAATATAAGTTCAAATAGAGAATTACAGAACATGGATTCTACTAGTTAGAGGAGTCTCTACCATACACAATATAGGTTCCAAAAGAAGACTACCCAACACTGAGTCTGCTAATTAGAAGAGGATTACCTTAAATGACACACTCAAAGGAGTATATAACAAAAACTGTTAGAGAGTTATCTAGCATGGGATCACACAAGATATGTCACATGGATTCAACAAGGATTATCACACAGATTTTAGTGACATACTGTACAAACAAGGATTATCACACAGATTTTAGTGACATACTGTACAAACAAGGATTATCACACAGATTTTAGTGACATACTGTACAAACAAAGATTATCACACAGATTTCAGTAACTTATAGACATACTGTACAAACAAGGATTATCACACAGATTTCAGTAACTTATAGACATACTGTACAAACAAAGATTATCAGACAGATTTCAGTAACTTATAGACATACTGTATATATTGGTCAGCATCTGTGGCTTAGGGCTAGTGAATTATTATTTGATGTTATTACTTGCTGTTTAAATGGAATTATGTCTGAAAAAAGGGAGACTAGAAGGGCAGAATGTTAGACAGGCCTGCGTACCCAATTCTTAACCCTCTCAAAATTTAGTTTAAATATTTGTTCATTTATTTGTTTGAATGAGTTTCATAGTTCTTAAATGCTTGGTTTCATTCCAATTGTGGGCGTTTTGGCCGCAGACTGACTTGCATTGATTTCTACAATGGTATCACCAGAAAATTAACATATTTAGTGCCAGAGATATAGTAGTCTACATTGTTTATGACAGTGTACTCACCCATGTAATTACTGGTCCACTTGGATGCAGTTGTGAATGCTGATCGGTCTCAAACAGGCCCAAAGCAATGAGGCCCCGCACTCCCTCAGTGAAACCCTAGGGGCAAATATAAAAGTTAATGGAAATATTACAGACAAAAGTAGCTGTAGGGCATGCAAGCTCAGAACGGCACATAAAGTGGGTCATGGCATGGCACTTAAACTGGGTCATGGCACTGGGTGATGGAACACCCGGTTTCACTGCTCACTACTTTCTAAAAGTGAAATTGTAGACACCCACTTTAACAGGTCAAGTTGACATCAGAGCCAGAGATTCAGGAGATGAAAGAGCCTCTCCATTGATGCTGTAAAAATAAGTAACTTTAATTACTGCAAAGTTACTGTCTGCTGAGACACCCTGCTTAAACAATGTAATGTTAACAATAATATATAACTTAAAAATCTCCTGTGGTAGATTTTATACAACTGTTAACAATAATAGATAATTTAAATATCTTCTGTGGTAGATTTTATACAAATGTTAACAATAATATATAACTTAAAAATCTCCTGTGGTAGATTTTATACAACTGTTAACAATAATAGATAATTTAAATATCTTCTGTGGTAGATTTTATACAAATGTTAACAATAATATATAACTTAAAAATCTCCTGTGGTAGATTTTATACAACTGTTAACAATAATAGATAACTTAAATATCTCCTGTGGTAGATTTTATACAAATGTTAACAATAATAGATAACTTAAATATCTCCTGTGGTAGATTTTATACAACTGTTAACAATAATAGATAACTTAAATATCTTCTGTGGTAGATTTTATACAAATGTCAACAATAATAGATAACTTAAATATCTTCTGTGGTAGATTTTATACAAATGTTAACAATAATAGATAATTTAAAAATCTCCTGTGGTAGATTTTATACAACTGTTAACAATAATAGATAACTTAAATATCTCCTGTGGTAGATTTTATACAACTGTTAATAATATATAATTTAAATATCTCCTGTGGTAGATTTTATACAAATGTTAACAATAATAGATAATTTAAAAATCTCCTGTGGTAGATTTTATACAAATGTTAACAATAATAGATAATTTAAATATCTCCTGTGGTAGATTTTATACAACTGTACAGTTCTGATAAGGTCTTGGCTTACATGGAATATTGTTGAGTTAGGAATGGAAACTTTATATATGAACCACTGGTTAGAAATGGTACCAAATTTCCCATTGATCTCTTGGGTAGTTAGACTGGTTACCTGGCTAATCTGAATTGGGACACACACACCTTATTTCATTTGCTAATTTAAATTCCCATGAAATCTAGAAATCACAAATAGTAGGCCGTAAAGCCACCATCCTGGCAAACTGTTAGAGAAGAAAACCTGCCCACACAGATGAATCTGACTAGAAAAAGTTAACCTGATAACGACGATGCATGATACAGTCAGATATGCTGACCTCTAAGGGGCACAACCAGGTGTGATACACTCCCTTCGAATGAGGAATGAGTCCAAAGAAGAAAATAATTCAGTAAAAATGAAGAGATGTATGCTTACTTTGTATCTGATGGTTCCTCGGAGAATGGTTCGAGCAGATTCAATGCCATATTCCTTGCCATAAATTGTGGAGTCTCTGTTAGGGAATCCCTCAAGGTTGAGTCCTGGCAAGAAAGTCAGGTCTTCCACAGCGTCCAGGAGACCACCTTTCCCAGGGATCTCAACAACCTGTACAGAATGTAGCAATGCAGATGGAAACCACAAGACTAGAAAACAAATGTCAACACAAAGATTCCATGCTCATTTATATAGAAAGATATTACTATCATCACATGTCATCACAAAGTATCCATGCTCACTTATATACAACATTATAACTGTCATCACATGTCATCACAAAGTATCCATGCTCACTTATGGAGAGAGTTATAACTGTCATCACATGTCAACACAAAGTTCATTGTTTTTTTTTGTTTTTTTTAGATCATCTTCATCCCAAATTGGTGATGTGTTCTGAACTCACTTTAATATTCATGAGTACCAAAAGTCAGAGGCGTGATTGCCTACGGCAGTCGTAAAGGCACTACATGATGACGAAGACGAGTGCAAAAGGTCCAAGCTACTTAATTTTGTGAGACAAGTGTCTTGAGATTAATGGGTATGTGCAAGTCAGTGTCTCTCGGTTAGTGAGACAGTGCGGACGTGTGTGACTTTCATTCATAACTATGTGTACTATTTTATTCTATTGGGGAGTTTGGACTGTTCAGTGGAATTTGGGTTATTATTCATGCTACAAATAAGCGATTTTATAGGAGATTAGACCGGGAGATCCCCGACACTTCATCTGACCACTGTGTTATTTGAATGATTATATTTCGCAGTGTTGGTCAGTACCAATGGCTGTTCATTAAACTTGTGGTTTTTTTTATAGCAGTAATATTTATCTGCTTTCCCGCAGGGCAGCCTGGTCTATACAGTGATAATTGCTGTTGTAGGCTATCTGTGACCCCAGTGTTTTTAGGCTAAAAACTTCCATTCTGTTCTGGATGATGTAATGACAGGTAGCTCCCATGTGATTTTTCTGTCTTGCAGCTCCAAGTGGTATACCATGGTATACAGCCTATTCAGTGAAAATTTTTCTATGAAACTGAAAGCCTCACAGCATTCAGTCTCTCATATGGTGTTGATGATGTCTCTCCTGTCCATAAAGGGCTATTCCTGATAGTCACACTGCCATCCAGAGCATCTGCTCTCTTATTGCCTTTCACACAACCATGACATGGGACAAACAAAGAAGGTAATTTTACAAAACGCTAAGTGCTGTATTCCCATTGAGCAACTGTTTCTGTATGTGCCCTATCTTGATCTTCTGTTGCATGCTCATTGAGTCGCTAAGCAAATATGCACTGGCAAACTCCTGAGCTGTCAGCCATTCTAGGGCCTTTGTCACAGAGTATCACTGCTTAGTTTTAGAGTTATGGCTGATAATTTGACCAAATGTTGACATAAAAATACCAGAAATGAATTGTTTAAATACTGGAATGGAATACCAACTATAGCCTTTACATGACCTGCCCTGTAGTCTCATTTCATGATACAACATTAAGTACAGTCTGATACATTTTGGACAAGTTTTAGTTCCTTTACGGGACACAGAAAATGCATAAATGTAAATCTCTGGAATTACCTTTCCATCCTTCAAGTATCTGGCAGCTGACATCACATTCATGAGTACTCCCTTGGGGAACCAGCTGTGGAAGGCAGAACAACAATAAAAACTTAAAAACATTAAAACTTGTTCAAATGTGCAAAACAAATTCATGAGAACAAATAAAAAATAACTGACAAGATTACCCATTATTAATAATTATTCATCATGCTGATTAACTCATAAATGCTATATATACACTTCCCCAACATAAAACTATCATACAAATTTTATATAGACTGTTGTTGATGTAGAAATTTTTTCTTCAGCACGTACGCTTTGGAAAAATTGTATAAACTGTACATGTCATTTGTGAACTAGGTCTAACTCCTTACATGTCATTTGTAAACTAGGTCTAACTCCTTACATTTGTCTAACTCCTTACATGTCATGTGTGAACTAACATATAAACTCCTTACATGTCATGGTCTAACTCCTTACATGTCATGTGTGTGAACTAGGTCTAACTCCTTACATGTCATGTGTAAAAAAAACTCCTTACATGTTACATGTTTGTAAACTAGGTCTAACTCCTTACATGTCATTTGTAACTCCTTACATGTCATTTTTGTGTCATGTGTGAACTAGGTCTAACTCCTTACATGTCATTTGTAAACTAGGTCTAACTCCTTACATGAAAACTCCTTCCTTACATGTCATTTGTAAAACTAGGTCTAACTCCTTACATGTAGGTCTAACTCCTTACATGTCATTTGAAACTAGGTCTAACTCCTTACATGTCATGTTTTGTAAACTAGGTCTAACTCCTTACATGTCATTTGTAAACTAGGTCTAACTCCTTACATGTCATTTGTAAACTAGGTCTAACTACATGTCATTTGTAAACTAACTCCTTACATGTCATTTGTAACTAGGTCTAACTCCTTACATGTCATTTGTAAACTAGGTCTAACTAGGTCATTTGTAAACTAGGTCTAACTCCTTACATGTCATTTGTAAACTAGGTCTAACTCCTTAACTCCTCCTACATGTCAACTTTGTCATTTGTAAACTAGGTCTAACTCCTTACACTCTAGGTCTAACTCCTTACATGTCATTTGTAAACAGGTTAACTCCTTACATGTCATTTGTGAACTAGGTATAACTCCTTACATGTCATTTGTAAACTGGTCTAACTCCTTACATGTCATTTGTAAACTAGGTCTAACTCCTTACATGTCATTTGTGAACTAGGTCTAACTCCTTACATGTCATTTGTAAACTAGGTCTAACTCCTTACATGTCATTTGTAAACTAGGTCTAACTCCTTACATGTCATTTGTAAACTAGGTCTAACTCCTTACATGTCATTTGTAAACTAGGTCTAACTCCTTACATGTCATTTGTAAACTAGGTCTAACTCCTTACATGTCATTTGTAAACTAGGTCTAACTCCTTACATGTTGTTTGTAAATTAGGTCTAACTCCTTACATGTTGTTTGTAAACTAGGTCTAACTCCTTACATGTTGTTTGTAAACTAGGTCTAACTCCTTACATGTTGTTTGTAAACTAGGTCTAACTCCTTACATGTTGTTTGTAAACTAGGTCTAACTCCTTACATGTTGTTTGTAAACTAGGTCTAACTCCTTACATGTTGTTTGTAAACTAGGTCTAACTCCTTACATGTTGTTTGTAAACTAGGTCTAACTCCTTACATGTTGTTTGTAAACTAGGTTTAACTCCTCTCTGCAATGATTCATAGTGTAAGAAACAGGACAAGATGGAGAATGTACTTTTTAAAATCTGATACCTCTGGTGATCAATTCCCTTGTGTATTTGACCTCCACAAGAGTCGAATGCATGTGGTTTTCCCTCCATTTGTTGGCATCTATGACAACAGTCTTTACAGACTGGGTGTTAGATAGTACTTGACATTGCAAATAATTGTCACATTACCAAACTACTACAGTTGTCTATTTCTACAATTGGTTAGAGATCTTGGAAGCCATGGAACCAACATTTTAGTTGTTTTGTGTAAAGATGGTGGATTATGAAGAAATGGCTACTGACCTGAACTTGTAGCGAAGTGGAGTCCCAGAATTTTCTGGAGCTGGTATTCCTCCACAGTAGCAAACATACGATGTTACCTGATCAAGTATACAGTTATACATTTTATAAAACCTAGTTATTACAATCAATAGGATATGATACAATCAATATAATAAAATCATTTCGATATGATACAATCAATATCATAAAATCATTTCAATATGATACAATCAATAGCTAAAATTAGTTGGATATGATAGAATCAATAACATACAATCAGTTGGATATGATACAATCAATATTATAAAATGAGTATATTTTAAAATCTTGTTTAGTCTTCACATGCTAGAAACCTGGGCAGCACCTGAGGTTGGGTCACCATCGACCACAATCAGCACATGGGCACCTGAGGTTGGGTCACCACGACCACAATCAGCACATGGGCACCTGAGGTTGGGTCACCACCGACCACGATCAGCAGTGGGCACCTTTTAGTCACCACCGACCACAATAAGCACATCACCACCGACCACGATCAGTTGTTGCCCTGAGGTGATGACCACGATCAGCACAGGATACCTGAGTGAATTTATACCGACCACGATCAGGCACAAGGACAGAAAGGCAAACCATCGACCACAAAGACATGGACCTGAGGGAGTCGAGACCACGATCAGGCATGAAGACAAGAGAGAATCACCAGACCACTGACATGGGCACCTGAGGTTGGGTCACCATCGCACCAGACATCAGGACAGTTGGGCACCTGCACCTTGAGGAGACCATCGACCACAATCAGCACATGGGAATGATTTCAAATGGTCAGTCCTCCAGGCACCTCAGGTTGGGTCACCATCCACCAGAATCAACATGGACCTGAGAGGGCTGACCACACAGCTATGGGCACAGACACCAGAGAACAATCAAACATGTTCACCAGTGGATCACCATGGACCACAATCGGTATTCCAGGAAAGGTTGGGTAGCATTGACAGACTTGCAAAAAAATAGAATAAAGGTGAAACAACCACAATCAGCCATGGGCATTGTGATTGGGTCCCATCGACCAAAACAGCCCATCCTGAGGTTGGGTCACCATTGACAACAAACTAACAGTAAACATCCACAGGTTGGGTCACCATCGAACTCAACAGAAAGCAACATAGGTTAATTTCACCATCTAAGAACATGACACTGCAGGCACCTGAGGTACCACATGACCACAATCAGCACTATAGTCCCCTGAGGTTGGGTCACATCAACCACAATCACCACAAAGCACCTGAGCATATTCTGTAGACAATCAGCACATGCCCACCTGAGCATGGGTCACTTCACAATCATCACTGGCCTCAAGTTGCAATCGACCACAATGTGCAGAGCAAGCTATAGGGAACCCATGAAGACAATCAGCAGCTTTTAGGTCTATGTGAGTTTATGATGATGCAACCCTTCAGGATATTAGTGAATTTATAAGAAGTGGCTTAAGGACAGAAAGGCAATAAACCATGAAAGACTGGACAGCTGGAGTCGAGTCAGGTTACAGGCTGAGGACAAGAGAGAATCACGAAGACACTGACATGACTAGAGGTTGATGGGAATTTGGGCAAAGACATCAGGACAAGTGTCAACAGCACCTTGAGGAGACAAGACATACGACAGATAGGAGTGAATGATTTCAAATGGTCAGTCCTCCAGAGAGGAATCCACAAGACAACATGGAGAGAGAACTGACCCACCAGCTAAACAGACACAGTGAACAATCAAATTGTTCCCCAGTGGATCCTGGCTCACTGCGGTATTCCAGGAAATGAGTTAGCAGACAGACTTGCAAAAAAATAGAATAAAGGTGAAACAACAAACCCATTCATTGTCATTACCAGAAATCAAAACGCCCATCAAGGGAAAATACAACAAACTAACAGTAAACATCCACAAGACCCCACCAGCAAACTCAACAGAAAGCAACATACAATAATTTTCCATCTAAGAACATGACACTGCAGGCTCAACTACAACATGCATTCAATAAAGACTATAGTCCCCACAGTGTGCCTGTCAAACAAGACCACAAACACCTGAGCACATTCTGCAAACCTGCCCACTCTGCCTGTAACTTCAAAAACTGGCCTCAAGAGCAAAGTGTGCAGAGCAAGCTCTAGGGAACCATGAAGAACCTGCTGCTAACATGTGAGTTTATAGAGGTAACCCTTCTAATGGTCTGAACTGAGCATACAAAACCAAATATGAAGAAGAAGAAGAAGAATGGTATGACAGTACCATTGTAGGAAAAAGTGCATGAGTAGTTGTGATGAGAATTATGTAAGTACCTTGATTAACAACTGTAGAAAGGTGAACTACAGTTGCTGCTGTTATTCACATAGGAGAAAGTCGGTGTTTGGGAGTGGGAATTATGAATAAGGCAACCTTTAATTGGGAACTGCATGAGCCCACCATCATAAAGTGGATCATGGCATTAACTGACAAGCTACAAAAACTCTGCCCTCACTTGGTTAACATATGAGTTTGTTGTTTATGATTAAAGGACAAAATAATCCGTTTATCTAGCAAGATCACTTGGACCCTGACTGTGGTGGGTCAAGGTGAAGGCGAGTTACCTGGGGGCAGTGCACTATAAAACACCTTAAAACTCAGATCAATGGATAAGGGTTGCCATAATATGTCTTGCTTGTTGTAACTGTAGGGTCCATCTCTTTAGACACAGGCTAGGGGAGATTACCTGCAGACAAACTTGGTGGTCTACTGAAGGGGGGACTGACAATGATCTCCACTTTGGTAAAACCAGCTGTGGACATCCTCTCCTCAGAAATTACCAGCAGCGTAGTAGCATCACACAGTGCACCCCCAGTCTAAGAGTTCAAGTATTTTAAAACATGCTCTAAATAATATGCTGTCATATTTCCACAAGAGTGCAACACTCTGACAAATAAACATATATATATATACCATGAAGATATAAAATACAATTGATATATACCATATATATATTCCAACACTTTGCTATACTGCACAGTTTTGTAAACTTCAAAAGACTTCCCTTTATGATATATTCTCCACTGAAAATTAGAAGCCTATGAAACATAAATCATGCTGGGAGTTGAAGTAGAAAGCAGCGAATAAGAAACAGACTAGACAAACACGGTAAAGAATATAAACATTAGAAACACTGTCAAAACTACACCAGTTTAGACTACATATCCGCAAAATCAAAGAATGAAATGGTTTGGACATCTAACCAAAATGAAAAATGATCAAATAACATCACAAATTTTGCAACCAAAGAAGTTCAGGATATAGGCAAGAGGAAGACCAAGGAAACGGTGGATTGACAGGGTCTCCGAAACCTGCCAAAAGCATGGCCTCAGAACTTCAGATGCTGCCCCTCAGTTATGACAGGAACTTGCATCTCCCCACAACGCTTAGCGGCATACGTGGAAGGAAAAAGTAAAAGTAAAGTAAAGGGTGGTCAATTCCTCCAAATTAAGGTTTTGGAACCCAAAAGATGACGTCAACCAACTGATGACCAACTACCTGTCTACTAGTTACATCTTTCCCCATAATACTTAGTCCACAAATGAATTATTAGATAAATTCGATCTTGATCATTCTGTGTGAACTGTGTGAAACAATGAAACGATAAACAATGTGTAGAAATACCCCACCTTGCCACCAGCTCGGTGCACTTCATCGAAACACTGCATGGCTAGCATGTGGTCTATGCCTGGGTCAACTCCAATCTCATTCATGATGGTGATTCCTGCATCTTTAGCACTAGAAATAACAAGATGCAGACACGCCAGTTAGTTTACAATAATTCCCCACTAAAATTACAGTAATTGATTGTTAAGTGTCAACATGAGAGTAATTCTCCATTAAACTACAATCTGCAATTTCTTTCTGTGTTCATTGTGGTGATGAAAATGTATTGTACCTGTTTACACCATGGCCTGTAATTGTCAACATGAGGTAATTCTTCACATAAACTACAATCTATGACTGTTGAAAATAAATGTCCACTATAACTTCAGTTTGTGATTGCAACTAAAAGTAATTCACAGCTAAATCTGTAACTGTTGACATTGTTGGTTGGAACTGCAACTTACGCTTTATGCAACTCTCTCATGTCAGGACTGATGTAGCTGGCGGTCACCATGTTTTTGTGGTACTTGATGCAAAACCTGGCAATCTCTGGGTGAAAAGTGTAAGGAAGCAAGCTGGAATACAAAACATAAACACTCATTACAATTTTATGATTTTATTAGGTGTTTTATGGAACACATGCATGGACAGATAAATCTACATCTTTTTATGTGGCCAGGACAGTATGGGTCAGATCCTGTCTGGACTTGTAACGGTCAGTACAATATTAATCAGGCCAGGAATATGAAACACAAATATGGAGAAACTCTACAGATAATAAATTTCAACAGATACTAAATCAAATGCCTGTCAATTAACCCTACCAGACCGCTGGCCTGGTTTTCCAGGAATTTCATAACTGTTCTCTATCCCGCTGGCCCTAATTTTCGGCTATTTGCATAGTGCGTGAAAAAGATGCGTCACTGACTAAAAATAACCAACCAATCGTCGTCAGTCCGCTTTGTTAGACATTGCAAATGGCTTCCCCGTGTGTGTGAATCAATTTTATGTGTTTTAACGTGAAAAAAATTAGGAAAATTCAAAATGAAGCGAGCGGCTGATGAACCAAGTTCTAGTCTTTTCACAGTCTAACAGGTGATCAATACTTGGTTTATTCAGACTCTGTGATATATATATATATATATATATATATATATATATATATATATATATATATATATATATATATATATATATATATATATATATATATATATATATATATATATATATATTCATTATCTTTGATAATTTCATAAAGAATACGTTTTTGAAGTGACACTGTCAGTGAGAGCGCGAATGATGAGGAAAATCTTGAAAATTATCAATCTTGAAATAGATCGATTGTAGGAGGAGGGGGTGTGTCCATCAAACAGCAACATCTGGTGTTCACTTTGTGAAACAAAGTTGATCCTGATGAGTGAATTCGCACACAAAGGTGGAATATTGGTGCTAGATAAAAGGTGAGCCTATTTTCTAGAATGTCTTCAAGTTTCATCATATTCTAGCCACTCGTCTGCATGTAACTAATATTTTTGTATATAATGTTGGTTTTTTCACATTTACAGCTTTACCAGCCTCAAATTTAAATAAAGCACATGGTTATTAGATTTGTATTAATCATTTATAGTCAAACTTTGATGACGGATAGCTCTAATGTGAACCAAATACGAAGAGTACAAATGATTCCAAAATGAGCTGGCACAAATAAAAAAACTGTTAGTAAAAAGATGATTTTCTTCAGTGTCAGTTAGCTCTAGTGCTATCCCCTTATTATTTAGGAACATAGCTTTAAAATTAAAGGCAAAATGAGTGTTGCAAAAACATTTTTTGGGAAGACACTAATTGTTTTGGGAAGTCAGTTCACTTTGCCAAATAAAGGTGCTCTGTTATGATGCTTCAACAGATTCTCTGGAACAAGATCTAATGTACAGACTGAGTTTATACTTTGCTTATACATTACTAAGTGGTTCCTGTTCATTTGTGATTCATTTTGGGTACATCTGAGAGTTTTCCTTTTTTAATTGTAATAATTTCTGTAAACATACCATCTGTTCATTTACTAATATTTAATTACTAACACAATTATTTGTTGTAACAGTATTATTATTATTCTCAGACAAACCCTGGTCACTTTGATGTATAATATGTGTATGTTGCACGGCAGCTGAATTTGTATAGTATATTTTAATGTGTTACACTTGTGAAATTAAGTTTAAAAAAATTGCATAAACCCCCTGGGATATCTGATGCTAAACCCCCTGGTACTCAGAGTTAAACAATATACCAAAAAAGAAAAGAGTTAAACAATATACCAAAGAAGAAAACAAACTTCTAGGGAAACCACATATTGGAAAAATTCACGATTTCATCCCTTTTACAATCAATGAAAAGAACAAATTCAAGGTGCAAAACTAAGAGAATATCTAGGAAGATTAGGATGGAATAAGGTTTGAATGAAATGAATGCAGCTGAGTGAGAAATTGTATTATTAATGATAGCAACATCATGTGTTTGCAGTAAATAGGTCTGGATATCTGTGAAACTCAAGACGATAGTGCAAACACAGAGAATTGATTAAATCTCACCTGATTACCAGGTCACAGTCCTTGATGACATTCTCCAGCTCATCAAAGTTAGCCCCGAGGTCCATGAGCACTGTGTCCACACTGGGAGACACACGGCAGGTGTTGTCAAGTTCCTCTTGAAACTGTGAGGCTGGACAACCATTGAACATTTCAGTTACTGTAACTAAACTGATTGTAATACATCACTAGGACTAATATTAAAGACCACATTTCACTTGAGTGGTAGCAGTGACTCAAACTGAGCCTGTTGCCTTGGTAGTTATGTGGGCAAACCTCCATCAAGTTTGACAGGGTTTTGTGAACTGACCTTGATCTCAAAGTCAGAACTGCAAATATGGGTACAAACAAATGTTCTGGGAGGTCAAGACAACTGGTATAAAACTGACTTGTGTTGACAGGGACTCAACTGGAAGTGTGGCTGATTTAATGCAGTATGTTGACTTGGGACTCAACTGAAAGTGTGGCTGACTCAATGCAGTATGTTGACTTGGGACTCAACTGAAAGTGTGGCTGACTCAATGCAGTATGTTGACTTGGGACTCAACTGAAAGTGTGGCTGACTCAATGCAGTATGTTGACTTGGGACTCAACTGAAAGTGTGGCTGATTATATGCAGGCACATGAGAATACTGAAAGTGTTCTACAGACATGCTGTCTTGTTGCAGTAGGGGTATCCCAGGTCCTGCCAGTTGAGCAGTCTGAGCTGCATGGATCTGTGGAGGAAATGTGTCGCACTTCTGTCACAGAGCAATCAAGCCATTTGTCTCTTGCACTATGAAGGTCATGGGGTCATGTTTAGTTTATGAGTGCAGTTTTATGGAATCCCCGGAGGTCACTGCAGCAATGGAGTTTGTGCTTTGTGAGATGCTCTTGGCAAGCAGCTAGCCATTCTCAGGAGAGAGACTGAGCCACATAGGATAACACCCAGTGCAATGAATATAATCTTATTTACTTAAACATTTATTTCATGCTATAATGTTACACACTCACCCACTGTGATGCCAGTTTTACTTTCCCTTGCCAGGTACTCCACCACCGGACCTGAAACATAGCCAGCCCCCAAGATGAGCACTCTCTCACCAGACTCCCTGCGCTTGGCTTTCTGGGCAGACCTGCACAAGACACATCAGCACAACTACATAAGGTCATCACAGCATCACCTTTATGACTGGTGAATGTGTGCGTGTGAGTGTGCATGTGAGTGTGTCTGTGTGTGCATGTGAGTATATGTAAAATGCTCTCTCTCTCTCTGTCTCTCTCTTTAATCTCGCCCAATATTTACAACAACAACAACAACAACAACAACAACAACAATTAAAGCAAAAACAACAACAACAAAAGTTTATCATCTCTGATATGTGGTGTGAAAACATTATTCTGCAAAATCCATTAATCCACTCAGTTGTTAAATGCTGTAGCCCCAAGATGACTTACTAGCTCCTACATATGGGTTAATTGCATTTGCTACTTTTTTTTAAATCCTTCGGCACTTCACACTTGTCCATTCATAGTAAGTAAATTAACAACTTCAATCTTGATATTGCAACACAATATCTCAGAACTAGATATTGCAAATATGTAAAGCAAACTAAAATATGCAAAAAATACCTTAAAATTTGAGATGGAAGTCTACTTTACAAATTTTGAATAAAACTGACAAAGTCGACATTTAAGTTACAAAGACCATCAGTAAAAAAAAAATTTAAAACAAATTCATGCAAAATATAAGAACTTAACTCTTTAAGGCCCAAGCACACTGTGTGAGCGTTGTTTGAGAAGTTCTGTTTTGTCCAAACAACGGTGTCATCGTTGATCGTGTGTCCCCTACATTTTGCTTCATTCACTCCCCGTAACTAGTTTCTAATGTTCAGAGGTACGATTAAACTATTCAGGAAATGTTACTCTGCCAAAATCCTTTTAGTTTCATTTCCTAGGCTAATGTAAACACGTGCATAATCTGAATGAAATAACAGCAAAAAATTTTTCCAACAGTGAATTTTCTAAGTTCGTTTTCGAGTGCCATGAATACCAATGATCCAACCACAAGTACAGGTCGCAGAATGTGTCTTTCTGCAGCCAAAGCTTTGAAATAGTTTCAGTCAGATGTTTTTAATTGTGATAATGATTATAAAAATTTAGATTTTTCAGAAAATGATTCGGACGGTGAATTTTCACCAGTGAAGCTGAGCGATCAGCTGTTCGGAATCTAACAATTCTGATGAGTTTATTACACAATGTCCCAAACTAGCGTATTTATGGTGTAAGAGAAGGAAAATGCTCTAAACAAATAGATTGTACTATACTATGGCTAAGCTACATTGAAATCATCGCAGCTACAGTCTGTAAATAACTGTACAAAGTAAATAGTAAATAGTGTGTGTAAAGGCTCATTTTTCTGGCATTTTTTCTCTGAAATTTTGCTCAGCGCTCTGGGAGAACTAAGAGCCCCTGAGTGATAAACTAACCCAGAAAGTTATCATAACTTTGGAATAGGTTAGGAAACTGAACAAACTTTGAAGTTTTGTTCTTATATTTGGATATTTACTACTCTTGTGGCTGCAAAACAATGGTAAGTCAAGATTTTTTTGGTGAAATGTTGTCCTTGTGAAATTAACACCTGCTGAATTCTTCTTTCCCACTAACTATAACAAAAGAAAAACTTATCAGATTCAAATGGTGCATTCATTTCTCTTTTTAAAAATATATACTTTTATAGGGATTAGAAGTATATTACATTCTCTATAGCCTTTCTTGTACACCCACTCCTCTGCCATTTTTGTAAATGGAAATTAATGTGGGCCAAGTCTGTCTAAATTCATGGGCCTGAAAGAGTTAAGAAATATCTTCAGTGGCACACACACACAAAAAATGCACCTGCCACCAAGAATGTTAAAACCAAAAGATAAACAAAATGGAGACAATTGTTTAGCTAAGTTTCTAAACTGTCTACTATCAAAACGGTGGAACAGGTACTCACTGTGATCGCAACCTCAGGTCACGTATGTACTCAAAGTTTGGTGTTAATTTGCCATTGCTTGCGATGACAGCCTACATAAGACAATAAATGAAATCAGTATTTATTCATGCTTGCTAAGCTACACTGTACTTTACCATCTTGAAGCATGTCCTTTACAGAACACTGATGTCATCACAGCCAGTCCGAAATAATCCTGATCCATTGCCATTTCCCCATTTCAAGAATTTTAATGTCTTTAATGTCATGCATCAACCACTGTGTTAGTAGACCCCTGATTCTCAGGTGAAGAACATATCAGCCATCAGTTTTCTTTATAAACTCACATGACACTGAAAACCCGGAGCTGTTCCCTTTATTTCAGAGATTTAACGAGACAAAGATTCTCCTGAAGCAAGCTACAAAAACAAGCTGGAGAGGTTAACACAGTGATTACAGACACAAGCATGTTGGCATCAGCAATGTAGGCAGAAAACAGCAGATCAGGATCTCTAGGCTCAGAACAGGACACTAAATATACCACCTGACAGACTCTGCCACTTGCAGCACTGGAATGTTAAACACATACCACCTGACAGACTCTGCCACTTGCAGCACTGGAATGTTAAACACATACCATCTGACAGACACTGCCACTTGCAGCACTGGAATGTTAAACACATACCATCTGACAGACTTAGCCACTTGCAGCACTGGAATGTTAAACACATACTATCAGTCCAGAGAGAGAATATAAATCTGGTCCCCGGGAGTAATCCTTCAAGTTAAAGCAGAGGACTGAAGACCTCAGGCAGACTGTTTAACTCATGACTCATGCTTGAATAAACACGAGGCAAACACTATTGTGAAAGAAAATGAAGAAAAAAAAACAAGAACAGAAAGAATTTCATGGTAAGAAAACAACAGAAAGCACAAAGTGCTACCACAAGGAAAGGAAAGAATGGTAAGCATGTAACCTACCAGACACGATGTAGGAGATTACTACAGAGGATTTGGTGAGAGACCAGCTACCCTGTCCCACACAACACTTTGGCTGACAAATCAAACCAAGCATGAAGTCACAAGGGAGGACCTATGCTGGACTGGGGAATAAACAGAAGAAGTCACAAGGGAGGACCTATGCTGCACTGGGGAATAAAGGGAAGAAGTCACAAGGGAGGACCTATGCTGCACTGGGGAATAAAGGGAAGAAGTCACAAGGGAGGACCTATGCTGCACTAGGGAATAAACAGAAGAAGTCACAAGGGAGGACCTATGCTGCACTGGGGAATAAAGGGAAGAAGTCACAAGGGAGGACCTATGCTGCACTGGGGAATAAAGGGAAGAAGTCACAAGGGAGGACCTATGCTGCACTGGGGAATAAAGGGAAGAAGTCACAAGGGAGGACCTATGCTGGACTGGGGAATAAACAGAAGAAGTCACAAGGAAGGACCTATGCTGCACTGGGGAATAAAGGGAAGAAGTCACAAGGGAGGACCTATGCTGCACTGGGGAATAAAGGGAAGAAGTCACAAGGAAGGACCTATGCTGCACTGGGGAATAAAGGGAAGAAGTCACAAGGAAGGACCTATGCTGGACTGGGGAATAAACAGAAGAAGTCACAAGGAAGGACCTATGCTGCACTAGGGAATAAACAGAAGAAGTCACAAGGGAGGACCTATGCTGCACTGGGGAATAAACAGAAGAAGTCACAAGGGAGGACCTATGCTGCACTAGGGAATAAACAGAAGAAGTCACAAGGAAGGACCTATGCTGCACTGGGGAATAAAGGGAAGAAGTCACAAGGGAGGACCTATGCTGCACTGGGGAATAAAGGGAAGAAGTCACAAGGGAGGACCTATGCTGCACTGGGGAATAAAGGGAAGAAGTCACAAGGGAGGACCTATGCTGCACTGGGGAATAAAGGGAAGAAGTCACAAGGGAGGACCTATGCTGCACTGGGGAATAAAGGGAAGAAGTCACAAGGGAGGACCTATGCTGCACTGGGGAATAAAGGGAAGAAGTCACAAGGGAGGACCTATGCTGCACTGGGGAATAAACGGAAGAATCAACCAAATGAGTTAAAATACTTACATTCTTCACTACAGGGCTGCATTCATAATCTTCAAATGGAACTTTGGCGTTGGACTTGAGCTGTAGGACATGCGGAGTACACATCAACCACACATTCACAAACATAACAATGAATATATCATAACAATATCAAAATTAGTTCTTGGTTCTAAAAAAAATGACATCATATAAACATGATGATATCTTATGTGTCTAAAAACTAACAGTGAGAGACAATGTCTGTTATTTTATGTTTCTAAGAGCTAATATTGAAATATACTGGTGTGTGTTATTTTATGTATCTAAGGACTAATATTGAAATATACTGGTGTGTGTTATTTTATGTATCTAAGGGTTAATAAGTCGGCTCTGTGGCTAAGTCGATGCAAACTCTTCGTAATGCCAGGGTACCGGGTTCAATCCCAGCTGCGGGCCATGTACTTTGCGCTGGGTTTGACAGCGGTGTCAGTGGGCCGACCATCCAGAAAGCAATGGCAAACTACTTGACATAAACTGCCTAGAGAAAACATACAACAGCCAGGGGCTGCTGGGGTTGGTTCTGCAACGCCCTGTAATACGCAACTAACAAGGGTAAATAGTGAAATATATTAGTGTGTGTTATTTATGTATCTAAAGACCAATAGTGAAATATACTAGTTTTTTTAAATCCTTTTTTATCTATGGAAAAACAATGAACTTCCAGAGTATGTGTTACTTCTTTTATCTAGGAATTACGTCTATTATTTTATATACAATTTTAAATGTTAAAAGCTGAATTAAGAATCAATATCACAGCACTCAGGACACTCCCATAAGTGCTCAGTCCCCATCTTCAGCACCAAGAGAAGAGTTTCAATTCTGTTTTACCAGTAACCATCTGTTTGTATTCTGTTATTTTATATGATAACAAAGAATTACCAGATTAACTGTTAATTTATCTAATAACTAAAAATGAATTAACAGATTCTATAAAATGCTAGCAATATTTTTTGTCTGTTGTTTAGCTTACCATCTCTTCTATATAAGGGAACAACAAACTGCCAAAATACTCAGTGGCTTCCCTTGGAATCTGGGCAGGCATGTTGTCAATGGAACAGATGAGTACTCCGTCACCAGCAAAACTACAGGTCAGACAACAGAATCTCACCGCATTAAAAGACAAGTCAGTTAACATGACGGCATGAAATACAAGGCATCAATCTCAATGGGAATAGAAGACACATAAACAACCAGATGGACATTTGTTAAAATGCACTTGTTCCTTTAGGTATGCACTTTTATCATTTAGAGGTGACAGGTTCAAATCCTCTGGAAGACTGAGTGTTAACTCAAAAATCCAATGCATTGTGACCTGAAAAGGGCTTGGATCTGTCAAGGTGAGGTTGGTTTGAAACTTGTCTCCTAAATGGATACACAAATTAAATTTCTATGGACTCATAGTTTTTCCCCTCTCAAGAAAATGATATTCACATACATTATGTCATTTCTTCTTCTTCTAAACGTTCACTGGCTGTAAACTCTGTTGGAGAGTTCCAGTTGTTCAGCCACTTCTGGACTTCAGTCTTGTTCCAGAACAAGAGTTTTGTACACATATCCATTTACAAATCTGGCTTCTTTCTATGCAAACTATTGGTTCCGCACCTATCAGGCAGATGACTTAGGTAAGACACCTTCTTCTTCTTCTGCATTCGACATCAGTCATGCTAAACATTGAGTTCCATCTGGGTCACAAATAGGATTGTGTGTTTAAGGTCGCCACCGGTCCCCCATAGCTTCTCTTGCAATGTGGATCCCCTGGGCCAGATCCACAGTCTTTGCTGGGAGAGGTTAGGGCAATACTGCAGCATGTGCTCAGGGGTCTGTCTTTCTGCTCCACAATCACAGGCAGCAGATTCTTTTATGACTATCCTGTATAGGTGGTAAAACACCAAATTAGTGTCCTTCTACAACATGCTTTTTGTGGGAGATTGGGGCGGGGGGAGGGTATGGGGGGTATGGGGGTTGGTAGGTCTAGTCTTTTCCCCCTAAAATAGGGCCCTGGACGGCACATGAGGATTATGTAATTTCACCTTTTAGGTGTTCTGAAAAAAACAAAAACAGCACAGGATAGTTCAGTGAACAAACATAAAAGCAGGAGACAAAAATCAGATCCAGCACAGAGGCTGGTACAGTAGCAACAGATGTAGCTATTTATACCTCTCTTTATCTACATTCTGTTCTGCATCATAGAGTGAAAAGGGCTTGTCAATGTTGGTGCACTCCTTCATGAACTCAATCGACCCCCCTGGATCAGCTGAGATGTCACAGATGGACAACAAACGGTGAGGCAGCTTAGGGCAGCCCGGAGAGGACGGAAGCCAAGGAGAGTCATGAGGCTGCAAGAGAACTTTGGCCTCGGGAATCGTGATGAGTCTCGGTGATCCCACAGCCCAGTATATGCAGTTGACTATGCATGAAGCATAAGGGGCAATCTGTGCAAGAGGTGGAAGCAAAGCAATTATACATGTTTCACTTAAAGTGAGAGTTTGTCATGCTGTTGATTATGCATGAAGCATAAGGGGCAATCTGTGCAAGAGGTGGAAGCAAAGCAATTATACATGTTTCACTTAAAGTGAGAGTTTGTCATGCTGTTGATTATGCATGAAGCATAAGGGGCAATCTGTGCAAGAGGTGGAAGCAAAGCAATTATAAATGTTTCACTTAAAGTGAGAGTTTGTCATGCTGTTGATTATGCATGAAGCATAAGGGGCAATCTGTGCAAGAGGTGGAAGCAAAGCAATTATACATGTTTCACTTAAAGTGAGAGTTTGTCATGCTGTTGATTATGCATGAAGCATAAGGGGCAATCTGTGCAAGAGGTGGAAGCAAAGCAATTATAAATGTTTCACTTAAAGTGAGAGTTTGCCATGCTGTTGATTAGGCATGAAGCATAAGGGGCAATCTGTGCAAGAGGTGGAAGCAAGGCAATTATAAATGTTTCACTTAAAGTGAGAGTTTGTCATGCTGTTGATTATGCATGAAGCATAAGGGGCAATCTGTGCAAGAGCTGGAAGCAAAGCAATTATAAATGTTTCACTTAAAGTGAGAGTTTGTCATGCTGTTGATTATGCATGAAGCATAAGGGGCAATCTGTGCAAGAGGTGGAAGCAAAGCAATTATAGATGTTTCACTTAAAGTGAGATAGTTTGTCATGCTGTTGATTATGCATGAAGCATAAGGGGCAATCTGTGCAAGAGGTGGAAGCAAAGCAATTATACATGTTTCACTTAAAGTGAGAGTTTGTCATGCTGTTGATTATGCATGAAGCATAAGGGGCAATCTGTGCAAGAGGTGGAAGCAAAGCAATTATAAATGTTTCACTTAAAGTGAGAGTTTGCCATGCTGTTGATTATGCAAAGACAGCATAAGGGGCAATCTGTGCAAGAGGTGGAAGCAAGGCAATTATAAATGTTTCACTTAAGTGTGAGAAACAAAGACATGCTGTTGATTATGCATGAAGCATAAGGGGCAATCTGTGATAGAAGTGGAAGCAAAAAACATTATAAATGTTTTGATTAAAAGTGAGAGTTGGCCATGATGTTGAGAAACAAAGACATGTGATAGAAGTTGAGAAAAAAGACATGATAGCATGATAGAAGTTGAGAAAAACAAATAGACATGGCATGATAGAAGTTGAGAAACAAAGACATGGCATGATAGAAGTTGAGAAACAAAACATGGCATGATAGAAGTTGAGAAACAAAGACATGGCATGATAGAAGTTGAGAAACAAAGACATGGCATGATAGAAGTTGAGAAACAAAGACATGGCATGATAGAAGTTGAGAAACAAAGACATGGTATGATAGAAGTTGAGAAACAAAGACATGGCATGATAGAAGTTGAGAAACAAAGACATGGTATGATAGAAGTTGAGAAACAAAGATGGCATGATAGAAGTTGAGAAGTTGAGAAACAAAGACATGGTGGACGATAGAAGTAGAAACAAAGACATGGCATGATAGAAAGTTGAGAAAGTTGAGAAACAAAGACATGGTATGATAGAAGTTGAGATACAAAGTGGCATGATAGAAGTTGAGAAACAAAGACATGGCATGATAGAAGTTGAGAAACAAAGACATGGCATGATAGAAGTTGAGAAACAAAGACATGGCATGATAGAAGTTGAGAAACAAAGACATGGCATGATAGAAGTTGAGAAACAAAGACATGGCATGATAGAAGTTGAGAAACAAAGACATGGCATGATAGAAGTTGAGAAACAAAGACATGGCATGATAGAAGTTGAGAAACAAAGACATGGCATGATAGAAGTTGAGAAACAAAGACATGGCATGAGAAACAAAGACATGGTATGATAGAAGTTGAGAAACAAAGACATGGTATGATAGAAGTTGAGAAACAAAGACATGGTATGATAGAAGTTGAGAAACAAAGACATGGTATGATAGAAGTTGAGAAACAAAGACATGGTATGATAGAAGTTGAGAAACAAAGACATGGCATGATAGAAGTTGAGAAACAAAGACATGGTATGATAGAAGTTGAGAAACAA